GATAATCACCAAGAATTAGAAATGACCTGAAGGATCATCATCTAGTGAATAAATGTGGTATATCTATACAAAGGAAAACTATCTGGCAATAAAACTATTGATACAGACAACATGGATGAACGAACTCTAAGGCATTATGCTAAGTGGTGGAAGTCAGCCATAAGAGGCTACAAACTGTATGATTCCATTTTATATCACATTCTGGAAAAGGCAAAACTATAGTGACAGAAGTTGCCAGGGACTGAGCCCAAGAGAGAGGGAGGGGATAGAATGGAAAGAGGCAGGAGGGAACTATTTGGAAAATGCAAATGTTTTATGTTTTAGCTGTGCTGGTGTGCATTTACAACTATGTACATTTGTACATTGTGTGGTGATGTGCATTTACATTGTATACAAATGCATATTGTATACAAATGTATAAAGTATATTTGTCAAAACATCATCAAATTGCACAAAAGGGTGAATTTTGCTGTATGTAAATTATGCCTCAATAAACCTAATTTTAAAAAACTCTTCTAAAAATTAAATCTTTAGGAGAACAGGCAAGTGTTTTAAATTTTTATTTTATTTACTATTACTAATAACTAGTTTATTATACATCTACTGTGCTGGGCCCTTTACCTATATTGGGTCATTTAATGCCTCAGAATGAAGTGAAGTAAAATTCCATTTTTATAATGAAGAAACTAACTCAGAAAAGTTCATTGCCATGTCACCTTGAGATGAGAACCAGAGACTTACAAAATCTAAAGTCTTTGCTTTTTCCACTATGCTTTCTTGCATCTCAAGTATTTATTTAATGCAAACGTGTTAACTGTACTTACATTAATTCATGCTTCAGAACCACACTATATGGTGTATGCCCCTTATACTCATTTTCAGATATGGGAGCAAGAGGACAGATAAATAATTTGCCTTGGCTTGCTCTTTCTACGCTGTCTCCCTATAATGGCATAGTCTTGAATTTATGTGTGTGTGTGTGTGTGTGTGTGTTCTAATAAGACTTTAGTATGGACACTAAAATCGGAATTTCATAGGATAAAAAAAAGTTATTTAAAAATAATTTTAGATTCACATAAAGTTGCAAAAAATATACAGGGACGTCCCATGCACCTTTCACTCAGTCCTCTCCCCAATGGTAACATCATGCATAACTGTAGTACACAATCAAAAAACAGCAGAGTGGTATTGGTATAGTCCCCAGATTCAGATTTCACCAGTTTTACAAGCACGTGGTGTGTGTGTGTGTGTGTGTAGTTCTATGCAATTTTATCACCTTTGTGAGCTTCATGTAACTACTACCACATTCAAGTACAGGACAGTTTCATCACAAGGCTCCCTCATGCTACCCACTTTATAGCCCCTCATCCACAATCCCCTCATCCCTAACTCCTGGCAACTACTTATCTGTTCTCTATTTCTATACTTTTGTTAAGTCAAGAATATTATATAAATTAAATCATATAGTATGTGACTTTTGGGGTTTTTTTTTTCACTCCACATAATTCCCTTGAGAGCCTTCCAAGTTGTTACATCTATCAACAATTCCTTTCCTTTTTATTGCTGAACTGTATCACATGGCATGGATGTACCACAGTTAATTTAACCATTTGCCCAATGAAGGATATTTGGGTTGTTTCCAGTTTTGGGCTAATAGAAATATAGCTGCTATAAACATTTATGTACAGGTTTTTGTATGAACATAAGTTTCCATTTCTCTGGGATAAATGCCCAATATTGCAATTGCAAGGTCATATGGCAAGCATCTACTTAGTTTTTAAAAGGTGGCTATACCGTTTTACATTCCCACCAACAGTATGAGAGATCCAGTTTCTCCACATTCTGGTCAGTGTTGACGTTACCACTACTTTCCAGTCATTATCATAGGTTTATAGTGATACGTGATTGTGGTTTTCTTTTTCCCTAATGGCTAATGATATTGAACATTGTTTCATGTTCTTTTTTTGCCATCTGTATATTCTCTTCAGTGAAATGTCATCATATCTTTTACCCACTTTCAAATTGGATTTTTTTTCTGTTGTTTTGAGAGTACATATTGTAGATACAAGTCCTTTGTCAGACATGTGGTTTGAAAATATTTTCTCTGATCTTAAATTGTCTTCTTATTCTCTTTACAGGGTATTTTTCATTTGAATAGCATTTTTGAAATATTTATTGAACAATAATTTTTTAAGTAAGCGTCTTTAAACAGGGCTAATTAATGATGTGGAAACTACAGATTTTAAAGTGTACTGTATTTCTGCTTAGAGTTCTCTATATGGGAGGTCTAAGATAGCACAGAACAAATATGACTCATCTGTTTTGCCCAATTTCCCTGCATCTTTTCACAAAAAATATTGAAATAACTCATAATATCCCAATACCTCTCAGACACATTCCATCTGTTACCTTATCCTTTTTTAACTCTTAAATATTTTTTTTTAAAGATTTTTATTGGGGAATTGGAACAGCGCTGGGGAATTGAGGGAACGGGAACAGACAAGTTGCTGTCGTTTTGTTCTTCAGTCTAGTGGAGGACGTTGCTTCACTGGCCCAAGTTGGCACCAACATTGTGCTCTTCCGGGGAGAGGCAGATCAGTTGCCGGCTTCTGGATGGCCGCTCATGGCGGCTGCTGGCCGCTCACGCTGACTGCTGGCTACACACGGTAGCCCATGGCAACCCACTGCAGCAGGAGTTACAGCTTATGAGGTCGCCGGCGACTCACAGCAGCTCAGCTCCAGGTTGAGCTGTTGTTCAGCATCTTAGTTGTAGAGGACAGTGTCACTGGCCCTCATATGTGGGATCCGAACCGGGTCTCTCTGGCCTCCCAAGCCAGCTCTTAACCAACGCGCCACTCGGCTGGCCCTCTTAAATATTTTTATTAGAATAAAATTATTCCCTTTCTCACCATGTCTAAAGCCAAGGGCCTCTGAAGCCTAATTAGAAGTTTCTGGTTTTTGCTTTTTTTTAAATTTTCTATGCAACTCAAGATATTTTGCTTAATAAAGTATGGAAAATATTACAGTGCAATGGCCTGATTTTTTTTTTTTATAGTTCCTTGTCCAGAAGCAGAGGGAGACAGAGCAAAGTAGATACCTACCCCAGACACAGGACAGGTGGGATATTGGAAAAATCTGGGAGAATGGGAGAAAGGCCTCTGATCAGGCCATATAGCCACATGATACACTTCGACACCTAGGATTAAAGGCCCTGAGCCATGAAAGGAGTTTGGGGACAAGTTAAATAAAACACAGATAACATAACAGAGATATGTAAAAGTAGCAAATAATTAATTCTGCCTGGGTGAATAGTGGAGTCATGAGGAAGAGACATTTGAGCTAGATCCTGCTGGATATTTTTAAATCAAATGCTTATTTTTCTTCCATGATGAATATGAAACATTAGAGAAAATCTGGAAAATGGAAATTGAACTTTTAAGGATGAGTTTGTCAGGTTAAAGTCTAACTATTTAGAGAGATCAAATTCATTCTTTCATTTATTCATTCAGCGAGTATTTATTGCCTTAGCCCCATTCCAGATTCCAGGAATGCAGAAGCAGTTCTTGCCAAAAAAGAGCTTTTAAGTTGGTAGGATGACAAAGTGATCCAAGACAATTGCAATACAATGTGAAAGTGCAAAGCAAGCACAGGAGGCCTTGGAAGTACATGGTAGCCTCTAACCTGGGTGGGCTGAGGATACTGAGATTTATTTGATGATGCTTTGAAATGTGAAGACATGAAATGGAAACGTATGAGGAACTATGAGAAACTCCGATGAAGCAAAAATCTAATGTAGACACATATATGTGGGAGCTACTCATGGTTTGCTTACACTTTTCCATTCCACTACCACTCCCACCCCGAACACACACACACACACACACACACACACACACACACACACACACACAGTCTTTAAGGGTTACCTTGGTAAGATTTAGGTGGGGGAAAAAAGAGTCCAGCCAAAAGACCCTCAGCCACAGCAGATACAGGAAGACTTTGAAGTCATGTTTCTTCCATTCCTCTTGACCTCCTTTCACGAGTCCAGTTCTGTCCTAGCTCTTTTGAGTAAATGAAGAAATAAATGACCGCAAAGTTGGGATGCCACAATTAGGCAAACAAAACAGCAGAACACCTACCCGGTAATTGTGGGAAAGAACGCATTTCACAGTCTCCATATACTCGCATACTTTATTTCAACCTTCATAACAACTCTATCAACAAGGGTGATCAAACAGGTACACACTGGAGAGGGTCAGCAACTTGCTGGAGGGCACAACACTGAGCACAGGCCCTCCGCCCTGTGGAGAACAAGCGCATGTGCACCCCTCGGCTTGGGAGCCCCCTAGAAGCACCCCTTTCCCCCGCTGGGAGCCCCCCTCCACCTTCAGGGCCTGGAGCGCTCTGAGGGTTCGGGCCCTCAGGCCTAGAAACAAGCCGTTGGCGCCTCATTTCTCCTGCCCATTGCCTCACTGGCCAGCACCGTCACTACTCATCAGTACAGCAGGACAGCCCACAAGGAGGTGCCTTTCTGGCCTGGGTCTCCCCACCGCCAGGTCTTCACGCTACATCCTCCAGTGTGAAGGCGCTCTGAGGACAGGCATGTCGTGTCGTCTCTCCTAAACGGCCCTGCAGGCCCCTTCTGCCCTCCCGAGACAGCCTAGCGCCCCTCAGGGCTGCGACCGCCCCCCCCCCGCGGCCGGGCTCCCCCGGCCGCCCACGCACGCCGGCCGCCCACAGCCAGAAAGGGGGCGCCACGCGCCGCACGCGTCTGCGCAGCCGCGCCAACCGTGAGCCCAACCGTGGGCGGTTGGTCCGGTAGCCGGGTCTCACCTGTCGGCGTTGAGTGCGGAGGACGCGCCTCGGGAGTCCTTCTCCGTCCCTCTGTCCTTGGAGCCTGGGTTGGTGGGACGCTCCTTCCAGCGGCGCGGGGGAGGTTTTGCGGGCCTGACACGCCGCCCTGACCGCTCAGGGAGCGGTGGCCGCGCGGCTCCAGGGAGATGTGCTCGACGCCGGGGCTGCCGACGCCGGGAGCCTCGCTGGTCCTGCGAGTGTCCTTCGTGGACGTGCATCCTGAGGTGATCCCCGTGCAGCTCTGGGGGCTGGTGGGCGAGCGGAGGGACGAGTACGTGCAGCTGAGCCGGGAGATCCAGGAAGCGGCGGCCACGTGCGGCCCGTGGGCGCTGGGCGGCGCCTCGGCCTCGCCGGGCGAGCTGTGCCTGGTGCAAGTGGGGCTCCTGTGGCACCGCGGCCGCGTGGTCAGCCGGCAGGCGCAGGAGAGCCGCATCTTCCTGCTGGACGAGGGCCGCACCATCACGGCCGACGCGGGCTCGCTGGTGCCGGGGCGCAGCGAGTTCTTCCACCTGCCCTCGGAGGTGCTGGGCTGCGTGCTGGCCGGCCTGGTGCCCGCGGGTGGAGGCTGCACGGGTGGGGGCGAGCTCCAGCACTGGCCGGCCTGCGCCGTGGACTTCCTTAGCAATCTGCAGGGCAGAGAGGTGCACGGGCAAGTCCTGGACGTGCTGCTGCTCCACCACCTGGTCCTTCTGGAGGTGCCCGCTCTGTCCCAGCAGATGCAGGAGCTCGGCCTAGCTCGGCAGGTACCCCACAACCTCTTCCGCTCGCTGCTCAAGCGCTACCTCTCGGCGACCACGGGTGGCATGGGCTCCAGGACCCCGGTCTTCCAGCGAGTCCTGCCCAAGAAAGTGCAGCCCGGCCTGGATTACTTCTATCCCCAGCTGCAGCTGGGCGTAACGGAGCAGGTAGTGGTGACACAAGTGTGCCATCCCCACCGCATTCACTGCCAGCTCCGGAGCTTCTCACAAGAGATCCGCCGCCTCTCCGAGAGCATGGCCCACATCTACGGGGATTCCTCGGGGACAGGGGATGAGAACTCCACCATCGCCACCTGGGAGGAGCCGGAGGAGAGCCCAGACAAGCCAGGCTCTCCGTGTGCATCGTGTGGGTTGGATGGCCATTGGTACAGGGCGCTCTTGCTTGAGACCTTTCGGCCCCAGCGCTGTGCCCAGGTGCTTCACGTAGACTTTGGCAGGAAGGAGTTAGTGAGTTGCAGTAGCCTGCGCTACTTGCTGCCTGAATATTTTCGAATGCCAGTGGTGACCTACCCTTGTGCTTTGTATGGCCTCTGGGACGGTGGCAGAGGCTGGTCTAGGTCACAGGTCGGTGACCTGAAGGCGCTGATACTGGGCCAGGCAGTGAATGCAAAGATTGAATTTTACTGTTCCTTTGAGCATGTGTATTTTGTCACCCTATATGGAGAAGATGGGATTAATCTTAACTGTGTATTCGGAGTACAGTCCTGTTGCTTGGCTGACCGATTCCTTCAGAATCTGGGAATAGAGGAGGAGGAAGAGGAGGAGGAAGAAGAATCTGTCACAGCTCTTCACTCTCAGTCTCCTGCTGAAGAAATGGATGAAGAGCTTTCACCCCCAGCATTAAGGTCTATCAGGTTAAAGATGAATGCCTTCTATGATGCCCAGGTAGAGTTTGTTAAAAATCCTTCTGAGTTTTGGATTAGGTTAAGGAAACACAGTGGCACCTTCAGCAAGTTGATGAGGAGAATGTGCAGTTTCTATTCCTCAGCCAGCAAGCTGGATGGTATAGTTTTGAAACCTGAACCCGAGGACCTTTGCTGTGTCAAATGGAAAGAAAATGGCTACTATCGGGCTCTGGTCACCAGATTAGATGACAAGAGTGTGGATGTATTCTTAGTTGATCAAGGCAATTCAGAAAATGTGGACTGGTATGACGTGAGGATGCTGCTTCCCCAGTTTAGACAGCTACCAGTATTGGCTCTGAGATGCACCCTGGCTTATATTTGGCCTTTGGCAGAAACCTGGAGCCCGGAAGCAATTTCCCTTTTTAAAAAGACTGTGCTCCACAAAGAAGTAGTTATCCATGTTCTCGATGAACAGGATAATCAATATGTTATTGAGATTCTTGATGAATCAAGAACAGGGGAAGAAAACGTTAGTAAGGTAATTGCTCAAGCTGGATATGCTAAGTATCAGGAATTTGAAACAAAGGGAAAGATTCCTGGACATGCCCACTCCCCAGGGCATGTTTCAAACCATTTCACTGCTGGGAATAACAAACTACCTTCTGCCAAGAAGGGAGAACAGGAAGCCAGGAGAGAGAATCAAACTACATCTGTTTCAGAAACTTTGACTGACACAACAGCTGTTTCAGAGGTTTCAACTGGACTAGTCGTGCAGGAAAAAGAGAAAAGAGTATCTGTTGATTCTCTTATACAGAATTTCTTGGAAATTCAATCAGGCTCTTTTTGTAAAGTAAAGCTAAAAGTTGGAAGTACAGTGGATGTCAAAGTGACTTATGTTGAAAACCCTGGCTATTTCTGGTGCCAACTCACCAGGAACATACAAAGGTTTAAAACTCTAACATGTGATATTCAGTACTATTGCAAGGATACCCCTGCTCCTTACCAGGGAACTACCCCCGCTTGTTTGGCACAACGAACAGCAAATGGACAATGGGCCAGAGCTCTGATCAGTGGGGCACAATCTTCAGAGCACTTCAAAGTAGTATTTGTAGATTATGGAGACGAAGATGTGGTATCTGTGAAGAATATTTTTTCAATTAGTGAAGAGTTTCTCCAAGTTAAGGCTCAGGCTTTTAGGTGCAGTCTTTATAATTTAATTCAGCCAACTGGTCGAAATCCCCTTGTTTGGGATGAAAAGGCAATACAAGCTTTCAGTGAATTTGTAAATAACGCATGGAAAGACAATCTAAAATTAAAATGCATAATATTTGCTTTGGCCTCAATACATGATGGAGAACTGTTTAATGTCGTGGATTTGCTAACACCTTTTCAGAGCGCATGCCAGTTTTTAGTAGAAAACGGACTTGCGAGACGAGTAGAACTTGAGAAGCCTCTGCAATCTTCTGTTCGGCTACATTCTTACTACTATTCTACTCATGATATGAAAATTGGAAATGAAGAATCAGTATACATAACACATGTTGATGATCCTTGGACATTTTATTGCCAGTTGGGAAGAAATGTGCATATTGTAGAGCAGTTGTCATGTAATATTACACAGCTAAGTAAAGTTTTGCTGAATTTAAAAACATCTCCCTTGATAACATCCCCCTTGATACCTGGAACCTTGTGCCTTGCCAAGTATACTGATGGAAATTGGTATCGAGGGGTGATGATAGAAAGAGAACCAAATAAAATCTTCTTTGTTGATTTTGGGAACATTTATGTGGTAACAAATGACGACCTGCTTCCAATACCTAGTGATGCATACGATGTCTTATTTTTGCCCATGCAAGCTGTCAGATGTTCATTATCTGATATTCCTGATTGTATGCCAGAAGAAGTTACAACATGGTTTCAGGAGACGGTTTTAGATAAGCCATTGAAGGCTTTGGTTGTAGCAAAAGATCCCGATGGAAGACTGATTATAGAACTGTACGATGGCAATATTCAAATTAATGCTAATATTAATGAGAAGTTAGGGCTGCGTGGTTGCAAAGGTAGGACAAGAAAGAAAAAAGAAAGCGAAGTACCCTATACAATGGAAACTCTTGAAGTAAAAAAGGAAAATAAAAAGTTGTCACCCTTGGAGTATTTAAGTAACTCAGTAGAGAACAAAGTATGCAACATGGAGATGTTGGGAGAATCATACACGCCTAAGATCAGGTCAGCATGTAATGAACTCAGACTTTTACAAAGTTCAACAAAAACAAACTTAGTCACTCAACATCAGGAATCTGTGGAAAATAAAAATGATCAAGTGTCTTCATTAACAACAAAAAAGAAAGAAGAAACTTTTGCTGAGCCACCACCTTTGAAAGCCACCAAATCTGAAGCCCCTCTTACAGAGAGCAAAACAGGAGATTCATATAACAAAGATTTGCCTCTAAAATTTTCTGAGTTTCCTCAGAGGACTGTAATGCCTGGCTTTAAGACAACTGTATATATTTCTCATATAAATGACCTTTCAGATTTTTATGTTCAACTAACAGAAGATGAGGCTGAACTTAATTGTCTCTCAGAGAGATTAAACAATGTTAATACAAAGCCGGAATGTTATGCAGGTCCACTTTTGCAAAAAGGAGATGTAATATGCACCATTTTTCCAGAAGACAATTTATGGTATCGGGCTGTGGTCAGGGAGCAACAGCCCAATGACCTTCTCTGTGTACAATTTATAGATTACGGCAATGTTTCTGTGGTTCCTACTAACAAGATAGGTAAACTTGACCTAGTTAATGCACTGTTACCAAGATTGTGCATTCACTGCTCCTTAAGGGGACTTGGCATTCCTGAGATTTTAAACTGTAAAGAAATGGTCCATTACTTTTCCCAAAGGACAGATGAGGCTCCAATCAGGTGTGAATTTGTTAAATTTGATGACAGATGGGAAGTTATTCTTGCTGATGAACATGGGATCATAGCAGAAGATATGATTAGCAAGTATGCTTTTACTGAAAAATCTGAAATAGGATGTTCTGCTCACATAATTAAAGGTGACTTTTCAAAGTCTGTCAACAAAAGAGACATTGACATTTCAGTATTTCTTAACTGGTATAATCCAAAGATGAAAATGATAAGAGCTTATGCCACTGTGATAGATGGGCCTGAATATTTTTGGTGTCAGTTTGCTGATACTGAGAACCTTCAGTATTTAGAAGTAGAAGTACAAACTTTTGGCGAACAGGTAATGGATTTGAGAAGCTGTATCTCATGTCCTCATGTTGGAGATCCTTGCATAGTGAGATATAGAGAAGATGGACATTATTACAGAGCACTCATCACCAACATTTGTGAAGATTATCTCGTATCCATCAGGCTTGTGGACTTTGGAAACATTGAAGACTCTGTGGACCCCAAAGCGCTCTACACCATTCCTTCTGGACTTCTGGTGGTTCCCATGCAAGCCTTTCCATGTTGCCTCTCGGGATTTAATATTTCCGAGGGTGTGTGCTCTCAAGAGGGAAATGAATATTTTTATGAAATAGTAACAGAAGATGTGTTGGAGATAACAATATTAGAAATCAAAAGGGATGTTTGTGATGTCCCTTTAGCAATTGTTGACTTGAAATGCAAAGGCAAAAGTATTAATGAAAAAATGAAGAAATATTCTAAGATTGGTGTTATTAACAGTGATCTGCTCTATGAAAAAAATGGCCCAGAGATAAAGGGAGCTTTTGGGTCCCCCATTCCTGAGGTTGGACTTAAGAAACCAAGTACTAAAGCTGGACAAGAGAGAACACTGTATGTGGAACCACAGACAGATGACCTATCTGAGAGAATTGAAGACTTAAACATTATTGAAACCAAACCAAATAAACTCTATGACCCTGAAACTGATAACATTTTTGAAGCTTTTGAAAACCCGTGCAAAGTTAAAATTGGCACTGGGGTACTGGAAAGACAAGTAGAATGCCAATTGGTTGACAAACCAAAGTTTGATAGTAAATACTTAATTACAGGATTTAACACATTATTACCGCATGCTAGTGAAACAGAGGAGATATTAGAACTTCATTCACTTGAGATCCCACTTTCTCCTGATGATGAATCAAAAGACGTCTTGGAAATGGAATCTATTGAGTTACAGCATTCTCTAGTCGAGGATGAAGAAAAAGAAGAGCCAGACCTGGTGCCTCCGATGGTGTCTCTTCCCGAAGGCTATGATGCAGAAGCCACCCTGCAGCCATTTACAGTGCAACTTCCCCTCACCTGTGAAGCCGAGAAACAGCCAGAGCTAGAATTACCTACAGCCGAGCTGTGTCTAGATGACAAAATAAACCCTTTGTGTTTAAGAGTTAGTCAGGAAGCCCAAGAACCCATGTGTGCTGAGGACACAAGACAATCAAGTTCTGTGGAATGTTTTGATGACCAGCATAGGTTGCCCCTGCACCTACCTGGACAGAGGTGTGATCCCAAAAGGCAGATTGAAATGAATATACGTAAAGAAGAATTTACAGAATATAAAAACAGAGATGTCATTTCATCATTGACTTCCTTGTTCTCTGAAGAAGAATCCAGAGATGAAAGGAAACACAGTAATGCTTTACCAGATTACATCTCAGGTGTGTGAATTTTTCCCCTTCATTTTCATTTAACTTAGTGTCTTTCAAAATTACTTATTTGTCTTAATGAAAATAATTCTTATTTGAATTTTTAAAAATTAATTCTTTGGGGAAAAGATTAAAACTTAGATTTTAACTGTGGTGTTTTGTTTCATGCATATACCTTTACATTCATTTAAAATCTCTGAAACAAAAACTAGATTTATGGAGACTATCTTTACAAAGGAAGTTAACAGCCATGGGTAAATAAATATTGGAGAACATTTATTGTCATTAACTTTTCTGTAAATTATTGTTACTGCACCTTTCTTGGCTATTTAATAAGATACAAAAGTTAAATGAAATGGGTAACTTTTAGGTTTTTTTTTCTTTTATAATCAATGTCAGACATTTTAAATGCCAGTTTTTATGTTATTTAATTTGAGCCGTTGTACAAATAGGTTTTCTCAATAGACAAAGGAGAATGAAAATCACCACAGTCCTACCACCAAGAAGTGAGCACTGTGAATGCTGTGGTGTCTTTCCTTTCTGTGGTCTTTTCCTCTCTGTGTGTATGTGTATTTACATTCAGTTTAAGAAACGTGTGCATTTTAATCGCCTAAATATGCTTTTAAAATGTTTTAATTCCATATATGCCATCCTATGGATATATATATGATAATTCATTTAAATAGTACACTAGGTTTTTTAGTCCCCATTACTACATTTTAATAATAATAAGTAATAGTCTTTGGTAAGATTGTCTGCTCACTTGCAGTATACTGCTTTGCTATAGAAATGGTTGTAATCATAGACCACACCTCATAGCAATAATAGCCAGCTCTTAGTACTATTTTTTTTGTGTGTGTGAAGAAATTTTATTGGGAACAGTGTGTTTTTCCAGGACCCATCAGCTCCAAGTCAAGTAGTTGTCTTCAATCTAGTTGTGGAGGGCGCAGCTCCGCAGCCCATGTGGGAATTGAACCGGCAACCTTGGCTTTATAAGCCTGTGCTCTAACCACCTGAGCTAACTGGTCGCCCCTCTTAGTAGTAATTTTTAATGTTAGAATCAGACTCACATCCTTTAAACACATCACATGGTGATGATTTTTGAGGACAGTGGTAAGGAATTACATGGGGAGGGGACCCTGGAAGAATTTAAAATAAAATCGTGGAAAGGTGACAAGCTTAGAACGTGTTGTACCGTACCTGATACTGATTATATAGGAATAGTGAAGGCAGGTTCAACGTTTGCTTGTGTATCTAACATTAAGGAATTGAGAGGTATGCACTGAGTCTCACCGTATTCAATTTGGCAGCTCAACCAGAGAGCACCTATTCTCTGAAAGGATTTACTGTTGGATCCAAATGTGTTGTGTGGTCAAATCTAAGAAACACATGGTCTAAATGTGAGATTTTGGAAATAGCTGAAGAAGGCACAAGGGTAAGTTAAAGCTGAAGTACTTCATCTCAAAATGTACTTGCAGACTAGACTGTTAAGGAAATGTGATCAGGTGAGAAAATGCAATTAAACGAACACTTACCTGCTCATTCCTCCTGATACTTTGATGTAGTGCAAAAATCATTTCTAACATTCATATATAAGCATCCTAGCAAGAAATCATCCTAGGCTTTTTCATCTCCCTTACCCCTGAAATCCTAGTTCCATACTTTCCACTTCTTAGCTCTTAGTTAAAACGTTTTATGCCTAATGCCACTGCCTTGGTTAAGTCCCTCATTGCACAACCAGATTACTCTAATAACCTTCTATTTGGTTTACTTCTTCCAGTCTTCCTTCAATTGATTCTTCACCCTGCCAGTGTGAAATTTGTCAGATGTAAATCTGACTACATCCTTCCTGTGTGTAGAACTTCTTGGGGACTTCCGGTTGATTGTGTTTCTCCTGTGGCCTGAAAACCACCTGTATCAGAGTCACCTGGGGTGTTACTTAAACTGTCGATCCCTGGGCCATGCCCTGGCTGGCCAATTCAGGATTTCTGGGGACAGGGCCAGAACTGTGCATGCTTATACCATTAAAATTTGAGAACCATGGCCTGGAATAGAAAAGTCAAGCTCATTAACATGACATGGTTCTCCAAGGTTAAGTGTTGATGTACCTCTCTGACCTTAGGTCTTACTCTTTCCGTTTTGTACCTTATATCGGGTGAACATCAAACTGCTTGATTTCTCTTATATATACTAAACTATTCTGCTTGGTTTCTTTGATGTATTTAATAATGCAGTTCTATTTGCCTATATTCTATCCCTTTCACAAATAGGTTCATTTCCACTTATCTTTTAAAGATTTACTTTAGCCTTTGCCTCTTCTATGAAGCATTGACTAGCATTATTTTCTAAATCTCTCTATCTCTTCCACCCCCCAACCCCCACCCCAAATCAGTTACAATATTTGGAAACTACCAATTTTTATGAATTTTTTTCCTCTGGTAGGTTTTGAACCTTTCAAATGGAATGGAGGAAATGGTGAACCCTGAGAATGTCTGGAATGGCATACCCAAATCAGATAAGAGTTCTCCTGAGGTATGGAATTATATAAATAGTAAATAATGAGAGCATTGTCCTTCATTTGAAAAGGTGTAAAACTATTCCCAAAGCCCTCGTGTTTAGAAATAATGAAGAGAAAAAGTACTAATATTGTAAAAACAACAATGAAAAACAGCAATGACAAAATCAATGTTTCTGGACTTTATGCCACATATCCCTTTGGGCAAGCTTAGTTATCAATGTTTTATTCCTTGATTTTTACTTTGGGATTTAAAAAATGAAAATTGTTTAGTGTTCATCATCTTCATGCAATACATTTGATGCAGAAATCCTCAAAATGGCAAAGTTAAAAAGGGGAAAGTATTAATCACCTATAATACATCCATCCAAAGATAAACAGATTGATCCGTTTGGTTTTATTTCATAGTTTTTCTGTTTATATGAAATATATCATCTACATATTTTTAACATAGTTGACTTCTTTCTACATACAATTTTATGCTCTGTGTTTTTCATTTTAAATTATAAGGTGGGCAATTTCCCATGCCATTTGAGTTTATCCTGTTGGGAGTTTGTTGAACTTCTTGCTTCAAAATCGGTGTCTGATAGTTCCAATATCTGGTCATCTCAGGGTTCGCATCTGCTGATTGTCTTGAGAAATAATTAGCTTTTCCTAGTTCTTTATATGTTGAGTAATTTTGTACTATATCCTGAATGTTTTCAATATTATGTTGCAAGACTTTGCATCCTGTTAAAATGTTTTAGAAAATATTGAAGTTTTTGTTTTAGCAGGTGATCAAACCACTTAGGTTCATACCACAAGTTCTGTTGATCCTTCTGTGTTTGTGGCTCCAATGTCAGTTTCGTTTTCAAAGCCTTTGCTAAGATGCTCGGGTCTGCCCAGGACATAAGCCACTTGGGTTAGTGTGGACCTCAGGCAGTGGTTTCTACAGTAGCTGAAGTGTGAAAGGCTTTACTATGCTTGGTTGGTTCTCTTCTGGATATACATAATTCAGAGGTGACCTTGGGACTTACATCAGTTCACATATAGTATTAGTGTTAGTGTTTCAAATTTTCCAATTCCTTTCCTCTCTGAGATTTTCTCCACACTTTCAGATTCCAAGGGTCCTCTTTTATCCAGCCCCCCAGGGATCCCTTTTCCTGGTCCTTTGGCCAGAGGGCATGTTTCTAGCATGATTTTTCCTCTGAGCTGGCAAGCAGTTCTGCTTGAGCCTGCCTTGGGAGTGAAGCAGATATGAAGAAATAACATAATCTCCTCCCCGACTCTTCAAATAACACAGGGCCTTTTCCCCAGTTCCACAGCCAGAGTCTTCTGTCAGGACGTCAGGTGCCTGCACTGTGACTGCTGTCGCCAGGCAGTGACTGGAGCAGCTCTCAGGACAGGGCCAGAAGAAAACAAACACGACGAAAGGATTTCCCACCCACTCTCAATTCTCTAGCCACCAGAGGCCTCTTTTCTCAATGCACTGGCTAGAAATAAGGGGTTTTTTAGAGTTTTTCAGAGTTTTGCTGTCCACCCCAGCGGGACAAATCTGATTTGGTCCAAACTCAGGTCAAAACTAGGAGACAAGGAAAAAAGAAAGAAAGAGAGAGAGAGAGAGAGAGAGAGAGAGAGAGAGAGAGAGAGAGAGAGACTGTGAAACTCACCCCTATTATGAGTTATTATTCAGGTTTTTATTTCAGTCCCCATTCTGCCTGTTCTTGATTACTTTTCAGAGTCCACAGGTACTTGATTTTGTATTCTTTTCAGAATTTTTAGTTGTAATCAGTGTAAGAGAGAAGCTGTGTTTGGCTTATCCATCTTGGCTGCAACCAAAGGCCACAAGTGTGGAATATTACATGACATTAATGGTCAATAATTTATTAAACTGTTTCTTCTACCATTGGACATTTAGGTCATTTGAAAAGTTTTACTATGAAAGATCGTTGCACATCTCCCTGCACCTTCTTATTAATTCCAATATTTACTTGTGAAAAGTAACAGCCTGCTTCACAAATATTGCATTAGTATTTCCTAAAACTTCTACATCCTGATCTTATCCATTTATTAATTTTTAAGAATCCACAAATACATAGATCTATATTTGTAGTATTCTTTTTGTATAAACTACCCCGCACCTGCTAAATAGTAGAGAACCATTTAAGACAAAGTGTTCGTAAAATAATATGGGCACAACTACCTATGGCTTTAAGCTAATTAGCAAATACAGAAACTACTTACGAGTAAGGCTTTACATTTTTATTTGGTTCTTAATGAGAGTTAAATGATCCTTTCCTTAAATTTGAAGAACCTCTTAGATATACTGGTAGATGCCTGTCTACAGAAAGCTGGTTTTACACTTCAAAAGTGAATATTGTGAGGCAGTAAGTTATGCATGACCATTTTTTTGTGATACATCAAGTCACTATCATCTGGGAGTCTGTTTGATTACATTTTTTTGCATCTGAGTTTTTTATTTCACCTTAAGAATATGTGTCATTAATTCACTTCTGTACAGACATCGTGCATACACATGATGCTATTAGGTATTGAAAAGAATCTCGAAGTATCCCCCTTCATGAAGCCTTTAATAAAGCATCCATGGCTTACCATAGGTTATGTGTTTGAGTAGCAGCCCCTTGAACATTGCACCAGACACCACTAGGGTTGTCGGAGGTTGGGAGCTAAAAATTGGGAAAGGGTACTTTATTCCCTGTGTGGGAAGCTCCAATGGAGATGGTCCAGAGAAATGAGTAGCTGAAGAATACAAACTGTACCTGAGGCGATTCCTCACCATAAAATCAGATTGTCATACTTTTAGAAGGATTACTTTTTGTTATTTATTCCATTTTCCTGGTTTATCTATGGTCCCCTTTCTGATTTTAATTATTTTGTTCCTATAATAAAGAACTGGTTGTCATCCAAACATTCCTTTTTTTTAGGCTATATTCCAAGCAGTGGGAAAAGATCTTTACTTCATGTCATCGGATAATACCGCAATTAAAGGTAACTTGTGTTTCTAAAACAAAGTACTTTTATTACCCAGATTGCTAAATCTTAAAGATACCATAACCCTGAATCTTCAGACAAAAATGGTTTATCAATTTCTTTGGATGTTAGAAGTAGAAAAACAAAATGCTTCAGCTAAAAAATGTTAAAGGTGCTTATGGGGGTAAATAACCAAGAAGAGGAATTCTTGAAATACATAGGAAATTTGTTGATTGAATTAATCGTGAAAGTTAAATTGTGATTCTGATAAATTCATATTTTGAAGGACTTGCTCAGTGTTAATTAGCTCATAGGTTCAAATGATCTATTGGAATTTCTGTGTTTTTAGTTTATCTGCATGCTAAGATTTAATTTGTTGGAAGTTCTTGCTTAATGCATGATCGTGTTCATAAGTATCACACTGGTTCTTAGAACTGAGGCAAACTGAGAATGAAATCAGCTCTTGGCGGCTTTAGTATCATGTGAAAATCAAAGAGAACAATGGACTAACTAGTTATCAGCCTTATTAACATCATTCTAGCAGAATGTAAAATCTGCCAATTTCATAATCTTTTAGAGAAACTTTGTTTGATAATAGGTAGAGTGTGAGAGCCAAGATACTAAAACAAAACGAAACAAAAAAACATTTCTGTAGGAATAATTCTGTTGTAATTAGAATGCTCCTCTGGCCCCTCTCCCCATTTTTTAGAGGACATTTTAAATTTGTTATGGTAGCACCCATGTAAATAATTTTCTTGTGTTTCTGTTTCTTTCTCAAGTCGAGGTTTTCTTTTCTTGTTTCAGAAAAGGGGCTTGGAGGTGATACAGGTTTAACTGTGGATCCACAGATGTGACCGGTCAGACAGAAGCTGCGCTTAAACAAGTGGCATCTTATCCGGAACAACAGAGTATTTGAGCCAATTGACAGCATGTAATCACAAGAAGTTGTCATTTTTGAAAACTTCGGTATGTGTTGAAAACAAAACAGGTCTCAGGTGGACTGTGCAGTCTATTTATAGGGACGTTACTGTATATGTGGAGCTGGGCTCTGTCCTCTCCCTTTAAAAGTATTATATTTCTAATCAGTTGGGAGGATTTATTTTGCTAACCAATTTGCTAACATATTACATTTCCAAAAAAACTACTTTGGTTTCCTTTGAATATAGTATTTAAGTTGAAATAGAAAATTATAGGTTTATGACAAGTATATTATATTATACAGCGCTACTTAGGAGGATGGCTTTGAAATTCCTTCAGAATTTTTGTTTTGTTTCCGAAACTTTGTCTTGTCTGTCTAGTTAAACGTTTCACTAATGTTTTGTTTGGATTTGGAAGTATTCTAACGTGACACAATATTTGAATAAAGTTTATCCTTAAAGCTGTAGTAGTCTCTCATTTCATTAAAAAAGAAACAGGATTCTGGAATGTCTGTGGTTCTGGAAAACCTGGAGTAATGGAAGCACAATTCTACAATGAGGGGAAACAGCAATAGTAAATGTTAGCTCTAGGTTTCAGTCACTCGGCTGAGACTTGAAGTGCATTTCCTCATTTAAGCCTCAATGCGGAAGTGCATATTAATATTATCCATGTTTTGTAGGTGAGAAAAACTGAAGCTTTTTAGAGAAGTTAAATAACTGACCTAAGGGCAAAGAGCTAGTGAGTCTCAGAGGCTTGATCAGATCCTCTAAGGTTCAAAGTCCACGCTTTTAAGCACGGTTTTGTATGGGCGGTAGCATGCAAAGTCCAGATCACAGCTTTAGGAAACAGATCTTAGCTGTATGCTGCTTACTAGATGTATGTGTGACCTGGGCGGGTTAGGTCATATCTTTGAGCCTTGCTCTTCCTTGTCTGTAAAAGGGGGATAATAAAACCTTTCTTGCAGTGTTTTTAAGATTAGAAATAATTTATGTAAAGTACCTGAAAAGGAGTAGGCATTCGATAAATATTTTCTTCTTTTCCCTAAAAGATACTCAGTATGCACTATGCTAGGTGGTTTTTTTTTTTTTTAACCTTCACTCATTGGATCCTTTCAGCAGTTGTTTTCTCCTTTCAGTAGCAGCATGTGCCACCAACAAAGGATTGTACAAAGGCACCGTTGAGCGGGACATCAATACAAAGGGAATGGTTATCCATCTCTAAAATGAGTAGAAGGAGGTTTGCTACAGGGAAACGATATGATAAAACATTATCAGACTCTGAAGCCTGATTGGAATAGTGAGAATTAAGTACCTTAAAAGCTGAGTATGATTTCAATAAGTAGAAAGGCGAGGGTTTACCCTAAACATAATTGAGGTAGATGAGAATATCCTGAGATAATGAGTAGACAAGTTTGGCTCATTCACATAGGCGATACACTTGTGAATGCATTAGGGTCGGATTATAGAAAGCCTTCCATTTCATGCTGAGACGTTTAACTCTATTTTAACATTTAATCCAAATGGCTATAGGATAGGAGAAGCCAAATCCCTCAGAATGAATGATTTTGCACTTTAAAACATTAAGATAGGCCTGAAGTGCCCAATCAGAACACACAGTTACTTATTAACTGGGCAAAAAAGGTAGGGATGGAGTAGTTATAGTTAACCAGGCTTGCTTACTATAAGTACTGATTATCCCTGTTCACATGGGCTTAATTACACTAATTATGGAGAATTCATAGGAACAAGACTATACTTAGACCAAAGTATACTTAACTAATGAGTGGCATATGTTTTTATACCCAATGGGAAACAAAACCAAATATACAAAAACCATTTTCTATGAATCCCAGATGCATAAGTACATAATTTTTTTAAGGTATCTTTTTTTTTTTAAAAGATTTTATTGGGGAATTGGGGAAGGGGAACAGCACTGGGGAATGGGGTGGGTGGGGGGAAGGGGAACAGACAAGTTGCTGTCCTTTTTTGTTCTTCAGTCTAGTTGTGGAGGATGTCGCTTCACTGGCACGTTGGTATTATCATTGCACTCTTCCCGGCTGAGGCAGATGGGTCGCCGGCCTCTGAACGGCTGCTCACTCTGACTGCTGGCCACTCGCGGTAACTCACCACAGCCCACTGCAGCATGGGCTGCAGCCTACGCTGTCGCTGGCTACTCACAGCAGCCCGCCTCCAGGTCAAGCTGTTGTTCACCATCTTAGCTATAGAGGGCAGTGTCACTGGCCCTCATGTGAGATCCGAACCGGGGCCCTGCTGCTCAGAGCTGGCGTCCCAAGCCAGCTCTTAACGTGCCACTTGGCCAGCCCTTAAGGTGTCTGTTTACCTCCATTTATTGTGCTATTCTACTTCCTATAGAATTAAAAACATCCATTAAATAAAACTAATTGAAAAATAAAGCAGCTAAAAGTAATTCAGAATGTTTTCTTTGTTACCCAGGCTTTGGGTGAACAATTTAATTTGTAATAGCTGGAATCTCTGGCTTGTCTAATGCACCTTTCTTCAGTAGGTAGAACCCACCAGAGATATACCATTACAATAAATACAAACAAATGACCAATTTCTTTCATGTGTTTTAATCTGCTGTCTTTGCTTTGTCTCCAAGATTCTTACCCTTGTCCACTCCCCATCTAGTCGTAATATTCAAATTGTATAGTATCACTAATTATGTGGTAAAGGAATGACTTTATTATCTCCTTGATCCAGTTTTACTTAAAGGGCAGTGCTGCTAAATTCTGAGAATGCCATGTTGTGAAAACTCAATTTTATAGCTCATAATAGAAAAGCGAGGCAAGAAAATCTGTTTTTATTGTATTTTTAGGGAGTGTTATGCTATTGCAACATGTTTTCATTGGCATTGTGCCTGTTTTAATATCCTTGTTCATTAAAGTAATGTAAAAACAGTTATCAACTTGGGCACTATGAAAGGATCATTTTAGTAAAAGTAAAATTTAGGCTAGTATGAATTTTATATACAGCAGTCTTTCTTTACATTTGAAGGAAAAAATCTTAACCTAAGCTTCAATCACTATTATGTTATAGCCTATATTTTTTAATGAGTTCATTGAGAAAATATATTAAAATCATATACATGCACATAAACACACACACACACACACACAAACACACACACACACAAACACACACACACACACTTTGAGACTTTTAAAATAATACTTTAAAAAAAAAAGGACTTTTAATCTAAATTCTGTGTCTCTGTTCCTGTAGAGTTCTGTAGAGCAACATGTTGGCTGGTTGTGTCAATGTTGGTCCCTGGAATAAGATGTTCATTTTTCCCTTCAATGAAATCATCCCACTGATCAAAATCTTTCTGAAGTTCTGTAAAATATGAAGGTTAATACACATTAAGCTTTTGAGAGCATTAAACAGTGGAGGGCCACTAGATGGCAGCAGAGCACCACACACTATGCAGTCTGCATCACGATCAGGGAGACCAGCTCTTCTGTGCTGAGCTGCCCACAGCTTGGCCGCTTCAGCTGCTGCATCTGAAGAAGAGATGTAATTGAGGCCCTGTGCTGTCAGGATCCACAGCATGGAAGCCCACCGCAGTCTTCACGGAAAGACCATTAGCTTTAATAAGCAGACTTACCATGTAGTATATATTAATAGTATGCAAAACGGCAAAATTAAATTTCTCAAATATTTGGTTTCAAACTGATTGACTGCTATGTTAAGTTGTAAACCACTGGAGACTGTTAAAATGGAACTAAAGCTGTGTTAGAATACCAGACTTACCGTGTGGTATATATTAATAGTATGCAACACAGCAAAATTAAATTTGTCAAATTGGTTTCAAACTGACTGCTGTGTTAAATTGTAAACCACTGGAAAGGGTTAAAATGGGACTAATGCTGTGTTAGGATAGCTGTGTCCTGAGAATCACCTGGTTTGTGTCACGAAAGAATATTAATTTCTTACCTAAATGCTTCTGTAAGAATGCCATTGATGCTTTGTTGCTAAGATCGATAGCTATATACGAATCTATCGTTCCTTTTAACGTAAACATGAATCCGAATACTTTGCCTGTTGCAAAAGTGAAGTCAGCAAAATTCTGATGGACTGACCCCCTGAAAGATAAATGAGACATTTCACAGATCACATTGTTTGATCAAATTATTTTTGTAGTTAGGGTGCAGGAACGATACTGGCCTGGTTGACTTATTTATCCCAAACCAAGGAAACAAAAGTTACTGATTTGATCTTACTAGGAATTTGAGGGTCACAGACGGTTCATGTAGGGGATCCTAGAACATATGTTTGTCTTTCCTTCTAGATAAACAACTCAAAGATTCCTGGCTTGCTTGGCATCTTGTCTTTACAATGAAATGATCCCAGCTTTTCAGGGGACTAGAATACTGGCAATTTGAGTAGATGGAACGTGTTATATGTTGAAGGGACGCTGAACTCAGACCCAAAACCCTGCTCCCTTACCACTACTACTTAATTTGATATCTATTTGATGCTAATCAAAAGCACTTTGGATTTATACCTTGGATTAAGTATATTTTTTAAAAATTACTTTTCCTTGTATTATTTAAACTGTAAGCACCTTATAAATTCGACTACACTGCACTTTAAATTCCCCGACAGCCTACCATCAGATAGAATGGCCTTTTTCAGTGTTCATTTTCTATTAGCTCTGGGACACTTGACACTTGATTTTCTTGCATTTTTTTCCTCTTTGTTTCCTTGACACCTGCACCTTCACCTCTTTTCCTCCCCTGGCTCTTTACTGGTTCTTCACCTAAACGTAGGCCTTTCTCAAGGTTCTACTCTCAGACCATTTCTTTTCTCACTTGGTGGCCTCATCTACTCCAAAGGTTTCCTCTACAATATCCAAAGTCTATGCTTTTCCAATTTGTGGCCAGATGTCTCTACCCAGGTTTCCCAGTCTCCAAAAAACCCAAGGTTAAAACACATCGGTTCAGCCCCACTCGGTACACCTCTTCCCTTTTCACTTTGCTGCTGCTGATCAGCGAACCCCCATTTTTTTTGTCATCTCTACTCAAAACCGAGCCAGACGCATCAAGAAGGTAGACACGGGTCATGAGAGAGCCGAGAGCAGGAGCCTGCATGCTGCCAACAGTAGGGGACTGGCCTGAGCAGAAGGAGAGGGAGAAGCAGGAAAGA